GTACTTAAAGCCCAGTTGGAGCCAGTGTGTGTGTGTCCTCATGCATATGTATGCACGTGTGTGCATGCGTGTGCATGTGCATGTACGTGTGTGCGCGCACTAGCAAAAGGATGCTGGTGTTGCATCCCAGGGCTCTGCCCTCACCCCGCTGAGAGAGCCGGGGCCCCAGCCTGCAGGGGTGCTGGCAGCAGTGTCACTGTGTGCCTGTGCAGGAGGCGGGCAGGCGGGCGGCTCGGCAGAGTGTCAGTGTGTCTCAGCCTGTGTGGGGGCGGCTGCGTGGGGGCGGAGGGCTGCCGCATGCACCAGAACATGTGCGTGCCTGCCGCTCTGATGGCTTGCAGGGGGAGGGAGAAAGGCTGTATCCTCCCTGTCCCTGCCACCCCCTCCTGAGGACCTACTCCCCAACTTTTCATCCTTGGCCTCTGGCCCCTGCACATCATCGGGCCCCCTCCCCTGGCTTGGCACTGCCTCTCCCTGTGGCCTTGGGCAAACCATTTCATTTCTCTGTGGGTATTGACTTCACCATCTGTGCTATAAGTAGAGACGTGCCCATGGTCCTTTCAGTCCTGAGGTTCTGGGAGCGTGTGCCTCCCCCAGAGGGAGCCTAAAGAGGACAGCAACTCTAATGGGGGCGTTTTAGCATCTGCAAAGTTATTCCGATCCCATTATACAGATGGCAAAGTTGAGGGACACCGAGGACAGGGGATCCATCCAGGGTGGCCCAGTAAATGAGAGGCAGAATCGTTATTGGAAAACAAGCCACAGCTCAGAGTCCCTTCGCCCACCAGACCACCGCCCCTCTTCCTAGTAGTGTTCCCCAGACACAGCACCAGGAGGGGACCCTCTCATCAACGTTCCCCCATATGCAGGTGCTGGAGACCTACATGCAAGTCTAAGCCCTGTCCCCAGTCCCCCGAGCCAGTCATCCCACCTGCTCAAGCATCAGTCTGCTCATCTGTGAGATGGATAAGTAAGCCCCCGGCCTCCAGCCAGATGAGCTCATCGGGGGAGAACAGCCCCGTCGGCCCCACAGTGCTGTGAATGTAATAGGTTATTAGAAGCAAAATAAACACACAACACCCATCTCCAGGCGGTGCGTCCATGCCCAGGTGCCCTCTCTCCCCAGTGTTACATCATCGAGCCTCCTAACAGCTCAGGAAGGACCAGAGAGCTACACACATTGGGCAGACATTAGAGTTTGGATCCCCAGAGGGGCACCCAGGACCCTGGACACCCAAGTGCAGGGAGCTGCCTCTGGACCCCAATATGGACCCCTGATCAGCCCAGCCCACGGCCGGTTCACCACACAAAGCAGAGGGAGCAGCGGTTCCAGAGCCAGCTCTCCGCCCGCCCTCTGCCAACCTCGCTGGCCCTTGAAAGCCCTCCCCCAACCCCCCACGCCCTTGAGACAATTTCAGATCCCTGTGTCTCGGGAGAAAAGAGTGGGCTGCACCCGCTCTCCGGTCTCCCTCCCTCTCCTTCTCTCAAGCACTGTCTCCTTCCGAGGCTCCTTCTTATGCCTGGTGATTACACAGGCTGCAGGGCAGTTCTCGGCTCCCTAACCTCCCCGGGCAGTGGGAGCCAAAGCCCAGAGAACGTCAGAGGCTGGAGGAGGCACCCCCTGCTCCACCTGCTGGAAACTAACCCCTTCCCCTGATCCCAGTCTCCGGAGAACGGAGAACGCCTGTCTGGTCTGCCGGGAGCGATGGCCCGACTGCCCAGGCCCACCCTGACCCTGAGCTGGTGTCGCTGCAGCCTGCCTCCCAGTGAGCTTTTGTGCTCCTGAGGTCCGGCTTTCATTTCTCTCATTCCCTGGGAGGAAGGAGGATTGGGGTCAAGGGAGGGGAGAGTGAGTGAGGCTCTGGGTCCAAGAGACAGCCCCACCTCACCCCTCTCAGGAACCTGGAATCAATTCCTGGTTTATCTGACTCACATCTGCAGTGGGACCTTCCTCCAGTGGCATCGAGAGGCCCTTAGAAGCCCCTGCCCAGGGCACTGACTCCAGCCCACACCCCCAGCTGGCTGCCCACCAGGAGGGAGACGGGCAGCTTCGGTCCCATCCACAGCCAGCCCTACCCCTGGGCTCCTTGAAAGAAGGCCTGCAGTCACCAGCCAGACCTCATCGGGCAGGACACCAAGAAGCCCTCAAGAGGCATGTGCCCTCCTCTCCAGCTGGGCAGCCCAGGGCCATGCCGAAGGAGGTCTAAAGGCTCCCATGTCCCCTTGTAGGGCCCACGCAGCTGTCTCTGCCAGTCACCCTGCCAGTGATCTGAAGTGGGCTCCTGGAACAGGGGCTCAGCTTTGGGTGGTGACTGCAGTGTCCCGGCTGGCAGGGACCTTGAGTCACCAAACTGAAGGATGGGCCCTGCACACATCTTTGGTGCATCAGTCCCCAGAAGCAACGCTGTCTGGAAGGCCCACTGTGTGCCGGGCTTGTCACTACGTCTTCATGTGCGCCATCTCATCTCATCCTCACAGCCCTTTTTTATCTCCAGATTGGGGGGGGGGGGGGAGAGAAGTGCCATAGCCCGTCCAACATCACTGTGGGTGGTGAGGTCCAGAGCCTATACCCTGTGCTGGGCACTGTTCCTACTGGCCTCTTGGGCTGAAGCTGTCATGCAGAGGAGAAGACCCCCTCCCAGCGGTACCCTGGCCTTTTTAAACTAGGATCAGAGGGGTGGGTCCTCATCCCCTTTTTTCCAATGCAAGCATCCTTAACCTGAGGCCCAGCTGCAGCCTTCCTGGGGCCCTGCAAGCTCCTGACATTGCATGCAACACATCTTAGTTTTGCGCATTTTCCTGAGGAATGTAGACTTAGCCTCTCGTCAGATTCCTGGAGGAATATGTGACCTAGAAAAGGTTAAGAGCACTGATGATTCTGGAAGGGAGAGATCTGAAATGGATTAGACAAGGCCTGGCCACGCCTGCCACCCTCAGCGTTCCTGCCATGGACACACCAGGGCTCCCTGTCTCCTGAAGTGCTGCCATGGCCCAGGTCCCTCCAAGCACCCTGGCAGGCAATGGGGCTGAGAAGGCTCTCTGCCAAGTCGCCCCCACAGCACCCGGTCTTCATGAGCTCCATCTCCTCATGGGGTAAAACATCACTTTTATTGTCATTTTGAGCACCTGAGTCACATTTTAACTACATTTCACTGCGCTCTGTGACGCAGTCCTGCCAGCGCACCCTGAAAGGCAGCTCCCAGCTCATTAGGGAATCCTGCCTTCCAGTGGGCCCTGGAAACCAGCTGAGAAGGGGGTCCCCACACAAGCTTGGCAGACAGCCTCAGCCCTCCAGGGAAGCCCTAAACATGTTGTTCCTGCTGCCTCCCCAGCACAAAACACACTCAGAAAGACAGGGAGTCTGCAGACAAGAGTGAGCACACGTCTGCACAGGGGTGTCTGTACGAAGGAACTGGCGTGTGCCTGTAGGTGTCAGGCTTGCCCAGTGTGCAAGTGTGTGTGTGTGTGTGTGTGTGTGTGTGTGTGTGCAGGCAGCCTACTTGTACACAGCCACAGGCCCACCTCCTACACATATGCAGACACCAGCAAGAGCTCAAAACACCCACACTCCCACCCTAGCCTGTGGGCTCAGGCCTCACACGCACACACATAAACCTTCCTGTGTGCATGTTCCCAGGTCCTCACACGGAAATGCATATCCAGACCTCATAGGGACACCACTGTGCCTAAGTCTCAGATGTGCATCCTTACACAAACATATATTTGCACATGCCCAGACCTCACACATATTTGCCTGCTGATGTGCACACAGCTGACTTGCCATACATGTAACGCACGCTCACACCTTCACTTCCATGCAAACCAGCCAACAGCACTCCTTGTGCCACTTGCACACATCCATGCTTGCAGGGCACACTTGCATTTTCAGGCTTCACACACTAGCACCTCCTCCTGGTGCACACACTTGGACACTCGCACACCCTTTCGGTGCACAGAGTGTACGCCAGAGTCAGTCCTTATACAACACACATCAAATGAACACTTGTGTGTGCACTTCCTGACCTCCCAGCAGCCCAGACCTGCTTACAGAGCCCCCCTCCCTGCACTCCTGCCGCTACACTGAGGGCATTGGAGTGGTTTTGCCCAAAAGGCAAACTGCCTCCAAATTGTACCCTTACCCTGGATCCATTCCTGCATCTTCCACAAATTCTACTGGGGGCATCCAGGAATGCTTCCTTAACACTCCATAGCCTTAGGGCTACCCCAAGGGGCTCTTCGTCCCCCATCCTCCCACCCTTCTCTCCACACCAGTCATCAGAGGCAGAAAATGAGCTCTGGGCTGGACAACTTTGCCAAGGACCAGTGCTGGTGCACCTCACACCACTAGCCCCTGCAAGTGCAGTGCCCCCTCCCAACTTGCCTGGCTGCCCTTCCCCTCCTCCCAACCCCCCCCCCCTCCAAGCCTCAGCCTTTGCTCAGTTATTAACCCCTGCTGTGCCGATGCCCTCGCTCCTACAGGAGCTGGGAGGGGAGAGTTGGGGGAGGATGAGCTTCCAGGGAGAAGTTGGCTGTTCTGCCATCGTGGAAGCTGCCTAGCGTCAGGGAGGACTTCCCGGGAGGTGCTGAACTCTCTGTCACCAGAGGCACCCACATGGATGCCAGTTGGCCACCTCCAGAGAAACTCACAGGGAATTCCAGCCTTGGACTCAGCTGACAGGAAAATCCCTTTTTAACGCTGAGTTTCTACGAATCCGTGTGCACCCAGGTCATGGATGTGTGTGTGCACATACATGTGTGTGCACTCACTGGCCTGCATCATCAATCCTTCACCTCTATACTCACACTCGCCCAGCTGGTTTTGGCACATCTGTGTACCCACAAACATGCCCGTGCCAGTTCTGGACACTCTGCACATGCAAGTGCCCCCAAACACATACAGCCTTCCTCCCTCCGTGAGCACGGGAAACACCGCAGGTGCACACCCCCACCCATGGCACGGAGTCCCTGGGCCCTCCAGGACTCTCTAAGGTGTAACTCACTTTCCCAATTCCTCGAAGAGCTGGTACTCTTCCGTGAAGCGGGTGCAGGTGATGGTGGCCATCCTGGTGCCGTGCGGGCAGGCGAGGCTCAGGGCTGGAGGACCAGGGCTGGGGCACTGCTGTTCTGCTCCCGGAACCAGGAGCCACTCGCCTGCCCGTGCTGCCGAGTGAGAACCTAGAACCGGCTTGACTGAGGAGCCCCCAGCTTCTGAGCAGGGCACTGTGGCTGCTCACAGCCTCGCGAGCCTTCGTCAGCATCCAGGTCCCCATGGCAACCAACTCGGAAACGCCCTGTTCCCGTTGCCCCGGTAACTGCCTCCCCAACACCTGCCTGCCTTCCACTGCGAAACCTGCTCCTCCAGGACGCCCTGGTCTGACCGCACACAATACTGCAGGCATGTGTGGGCTGGGGGCAGGTGGATAAAGCACCCTGAAGGTGGGGGCGGCGGGGCCGGGGGGAGGACTGCAGGAGGGGGAGGAGAACAAACTTCATCCACAAGTGATCTGCTCTCTTCCCACCTCCCCCACTTCCAACTGTGGGGCCCTCAGATGGGATTAAATGGGGCAAAAAGGCAGTTGCCATGGTAATGGTGGATGCCACATTCCAGGATGGTCCCCAGGAAAGACAGGATGCAGTTACCCTGGCAACTTCAGTTCCTCTGGAGAGACAGGTATTGCCCCGTTGTCCTGGCAACAGCGGGGTTCTAAGGTTTATAGGGAAATGATGGCTAATTCATTGGGATCTCTCTCTCTCTCTCTCTCTCTCTCTCTCTCTCTCTCTCTCTCTCTCTCTCTCTCTCTCTCTCTCTCTGTAGTCTCTATAACTGTCTCTCTGCTCCCCTCTGTATTTTTTTCTTCTGCTTTTTTTTCTTATCTCTGCTCTTTCCCACTTTGCCCATCACAAGGGTGCTCTAGCTTGGGGAAGAAGTCCCCCTTTCACAGCTGTAACAGTTGATCCCTCCTGAGGTTCTTCCATAACCTCTCCCCTGGCCCATGCCCCCGAGGGACCTTGGAGAGTTGGTCTCCTGGGGCTCGTGTCCCAGTTTCTGCTGGCGCTTCAACTCAAGGTGAAAGAGGTCGAGGAGGCAGTGGGGAGGGGAGCATGGCCTGGCATGGAGAGAAGCGGCCACAGACCTGCCCTGAAGCCCTCATTCCCAAATCCTGTGGGTACTTTCCCAGCCAACTTCAACTCTTCAGAGCAAGAGCCATATATGTGGCCCCAAAATCTCACCCTAAGGCCTGGGGGGTTAAGAAGGAAGAAGACTGGACTCTGAGGATCTGGGCTCACTTGGAGCTCTGACATTTGTTGGCTGTGTGACCCTTGGAAAGTCAATGTTCCCCTCTGAGCCTTCAGCTCCTTTTCTGCAAAACAGAGCAAAGCTGCCCCTCAGAGGAGGGTGTGAAGATGGAGTAGGCTAATGGTTGCAGAGGCCTCTTGTTAGTTTCTAGAAAAGGAAAGGGAAGGTCTAAGGCAGGACCATGACCACCTGCATCACTCCCAGCTTGCACTTAGAATCTCAGACCCTTCGCACCCTCTCCCTCCATTCAAGCCCATTTTACAGCCCACCAGGCTGAGGTCTCAGGCCAGCATTTGCCCATAATGAGCACAGGTTGGATAATGGGATCCGAACCCTCTGGGTTTCTAGTCCAGCCCCTGAGAACCTCTAAGTTGCCTTACTGGTCACTTCATTTTCTGACATGGTGTCTGCTTGTTGGTAATCCCCAACCCCAGCAGGTCCCCGACTCACATCCCTAGGTCCAGGGGTCCCTGGAGACATCAGGTACCCCATCCCCCAAATTCTACCCCTATTCCTGGAAGTCGAGGGTGGGAACGATGCAGCCACTTCTTCCCAGGAGAGAAACAGGAGGGAGGCAGAGGGGAAGGAGGAGAAGCAAGCAAGGGAGGAGGGGTGATGGCTTAGCCACTAATTGTACCATTGCCACCTTCAGAAAAAGGAAAAACCACTCAGTTTTGTTTCTGTGCACAATATGCTTCCCGCTTCTGCCGCCAACGTTGCAATTCAGAGGCAAAGAAGAGACGCCTGTGCTCTGGGCTCACAGCCGGTGGGCAGCAGGCAGGGCACGGAACACCGCTAGAGGCTAGCTATGTAAATGGGGACGTGGGGGAAGGGCCGCACCACCGCTCCCTGCCCCAACCTTGGAACCGGTTCCCAGGAGGGATCGCTTCCACACATGAAATTGCTGGAACAGCCCTTAGTGACCACTGAGGACACCCCGGTTATTGTCCAGGAGAGAGGGAACTGTGCAGTGGTTAGAGCAACTCCACGACCTACAGGCTGTGTGATTTTGGGTAGGTATCCTAACGTCTCTGTGCCTCAGTTTCTTGTCTGCAGAGTTAAAAATATTCCCTACCTCCAGGGCTATTCTATGGCTTAAATGAGATGAGCCCAGTGGCTGACCTTGTAAGTACTCAATAGATAAGAACTGCTATTATTAAGGGACTCCGAAGATTTCCCGATGCATTGCTCTCTCTGCACCATGGAAGCTCACACCACTACCTTCAAGTCCCAGCACTGTAGGGTGTCATTCTCTGAGGCCCCACTGGAGTAGAGCTCATGATTTGAACATCACCTTGCCCAGGCCTGGTTTGCAGCAGTTCCTGCAGAACAAAGGACTTGGAGCTAGAGCGAGAGGGCTCACAAGGCCTGAGGCCATAGTCATGGGAATCTAATGTTCTGAACAAAGGAGGTGATGGCTTGGCCTGACCACCCTGTTTCTCCTCCTCGCCTTCCCCCATGAAATGGAGCATGTCAGAAGAGAGCAGAGCCCATGGGGGAGGTCCCAGGTCATCCCAGGAATAGCCAGCAGTGACTCAGGGACATGAGGGAGGGAGGCATAGAGGACCAGCTTTCACCCAGACTCTGACAGGGTCCATGGAGATGGTTTCAGGGGGCAGGGCCAATCCAGCCCCACTCCAGCCCATCACCCCCATCACCAAATCCGCCTGTTCTTCCGCTTCCATTTCTCCTTTCAGCTCTCCTTTTTTCTTTCTTGCTTTTCCCCCGTTTTCTTCCTTCCCTCCCTAGAGCCCTTCTTCCTCAGTGCCACCTATCTCCCCTCCCATTCCTTTGCACCTCCCTTCTTGTCTCCATCTTCCTTTCCTTCTGTCAGTCTCCATCACTCTTCTCTCCATCCCAGCACTGGCCGGACGCAGTGCACAGGATCCTGGGGGATGGGCTGGACCCAGACTGCAGGATCCTGATGGTAGAGAGATGTCTGGAGAGGAGCTTGGGGGGGGGGGGGGAAGAAGCTAAAAAGGTCTCCTTGGCAACTCTCTCTCTCTCTCTCTCACACACACACACACACACACACACACACACACACACACACACCTCCGAACCTTTGAGAACCTAGCACAGGCGTGCGGACACTGCCTTGGACGAGCACCCCCATCCAGAGTGTAACTGCCACCTGCTAAAGAGGCCCTGCTAATTCACTGCCTCCCGTGTGCCAGAAAGGCTGCCAGCTGTGCCCAGTGGTTGCAGGGAGCAAGGAGCCGGCCCTGCCTCCGTGGCGCTGAGAGAATGAGTTGATGATTGCATCAGGGGAGACTGTTCCTACCAGACTCTCCACTCCCCAGGGCCAAGGCAGGCATGCGAGCCGGCACGTGTGCCCCAATCCGCAGCATGTGTGCGGTACTCAAGAGCAGGACTGCATGACATAGGCTGGTGGCCAGCGATGGGAGCTCTCCAGGGCACTGAGCACAGCACAGCTCTGACATGCTAGGATAGGGAATGTGAATATGAATACAGGCTGTACCCCTTGTATATGGGGAGGGACAACTGGGGACCAGGGCCAAGTTCCTAGGCCAGGGGTGGGCAAACTTTTTTTTTTTTTTTAACTTTTTTAAAAATATTTTATTGATTTTTTACAGAGAGGAAGGGAGAGAGAGAGAGAGTTAGAAACACTGATGAGAGAGACACATCAATCAGCTGCCTCCTGCACATCTCCTATTGGGGATGTGCCCGCAACCCAGGTACATGCCCTTGACTGGAATCGAACCTGGGACCTTTCAGTCCGCAGGCCGACGCTCTATCCCTGGGCAAACTTTTTGACTCGAGGGCCACAATGGGTTCTTAAACTGGACCGGAGGGCCGGAACAAAAGCATGGATGGAGTGTTTGTGTGAACTAATATAAATTCAAAGTAAACATCATTACATAAAAGGGTACGGTCTTTTTTTTTTTTTTAGTTTTATTCATTTCAAACGGGCCGGATCCGGCCCGCGGGCCATAGTTTGCCTGCAGCTGTCCTAGGCCATGGTAAGGATGGGGGGTGGGGGAGATTGGAGTCCCAGTAGCATCGTAACAGCTGACTCTAGGTCCACAGCCCTCTCAGGTGCTCATGTGCACATGCCCAAGTGCCTCGGGGCCCTGCAGGACCTGGACAGGCACCACGGGAAACGTGCCAGCAAAAGGGTCCCCATGAGGCCTGTCCCACTAAGGGCAGTGAGCGTAAGGGGCAGAACCAGTGGAAAGTGGGCCAAGAGAGAAATGCTCCCGCAGAGGGTCTAGGCAGAGGGTGATGTGGTGAATTCGTTGTAGTAATGCCAGGCTTGACTCGGAAGGGAGAGAAGTCGGGGGTCAGGGAGCAGCACCCTCCTCTGAAATGTCCCCCACAGGAGGCATCCCTGCAGGGGAGAGGGAGCAGGGAGTCACGGGACAGAGGACAACAGCTGCCGGGCCAATGTCTGCACAGCACGACCTGCCGTTAGATGACCCAAGTTCAAGTCCTCCTGTAGGCTGTGAGTACTCGTGGCACATCTTTTCCCCAATGGGGCCTTCACTCCCTCCTGAAAAGTATGGGGACAAGATGTTCCTTCACAGACTTCAAGGATATGAAAAATAGCTATTTCCACTTTAAAGCCAGGCCCTGTGCTAAGCACTTGACATATTGCACTATTTGTACCTCACAATGAATGTCCATGAGACAGGTACAGTCATTGTCTGTTTTGCAGAGATGAGACGTGATTTACCCATCTGGGGTTTGTGTGACTTCAGCACCCGGCCCTGAGCTCTTTGGCCTCCACTAGGATTGGAAGGGCCCTGAGGGAGCCCATGTCCCCTACAGATCGGTGGCCGAGGCACAGAGGAAGGAAGCTGCCCTCCCGCAGTCACACAAGTCAGGGGCAGAGCCTGGGCCACAATCTGAAGCCCTGACTCCCAGGTCCTTCCCTTACCCTGCTCTGCCTTTCCCCTTTCTGACACTGCAGGGCTGCTTGCCCAGGTCCCAAGAGAGACAACAGGCACTGAGGAGAGGAGGAAATGGTGCCAAGGCCCAGGGTGGGGCTCAAGCCCCTCCAGCCAGGTCTGGGGCTCTCTCCTGGTTTCTAGGAGACTGGCCGTCACTGTTCAGGATTCTATAAGTGGGGCCCAGCTCAGATAGGGCTGCCCCTGGCTCAAACCCATCAGGCTGGCAGACCTGCTGCCATCTGGTCCAGCCAAGGGGAAAACGGGGCTTGTCTGGCATCCCTGGGCTGCACTCCCCCAGATCAATGACCCAAGAGGTCAGAGCTGCCTCTGGTCTACCTGCCGCCCATCCCTCCCATGGTGCAAGCATCTGCCTGCTAATACCAGTCAGAGGCTTGACACAGAGTCCAGACCAAGGTGCCCTGGCTGGAGGGAATGCAGGGGCCATGAGAGGCAAGACAGGGGGCAGAGGGAGCATGCTGACTGCTGGGCTGAGCAGAAGCCACAGCAAGCAGACTGAGCCTCTTGTCAGAATGTCCTAGGTCCTGGTCACTTCTCATCTCAAGCCCTCCCTCAATCTCAGGTCAGGGCCAGCTGCCAGCACCCCTGTTAGGCGGGCTTGGGGGCTGCTGGGCTGTGGATCAGATGGCAAGCTGAAGCTTGAGGGGGGGGCTTCTGGGCTGCTGCTGGGCTCTGAATTAGGTAGGACTCCGCCAGGTGAGCTCTAGGCTGAGTTGGAGATTAGACCAAACCTCCTTCTCAGGAATCAGAATGGAGCCAGCCCCCAACCCCACCTGGGCTCCCTGTTTGGGGCCAGGTTGACCAAACGGTGGGCCTTGGTGTGTAGGAAAGAGCAGAAAGGACTTTTTATGGCTCTGCACTTGTGCAGAGAAGCAGGGCTGGAGATGGAGGCTGGGCCACCTTGGGCAGAGCCAACTCAGCAGGCATGGGCAAGCCTATTACTCAACTGGTACAAGCCTAGAGCCACGGGGGAGCCCGGTTCCACGTCACTCTGGCATGGCCCAGCCCACAAAGCTGGGACGAGCCTCCAACAGAGCAGGGGTATCCTGGGTAATGGGCAGACTATGGACAACCCCCTCCCCACGCCCCCCACCCCCGTGGTACACTGGGCCTGGGACACATCCCAATGGGTGATTTCTTCCAAGTCTCCCTCCTGAGCAGGCAGAAGCTGGGGCTGGCTGGAATCAGAGGCCTCAGCCACTCCTGGTCCCTGCCCACCATGGCCCTGGCACCAACATCCTGGGAAATGGGAAAGGTTTCAGTTGGGGGACCAGGGTTGGGAGTAAGGAGCCCAGGACATGAATGGTCGCCTCTGCCCTGCAGCCCCAGAACAGACCCTCCCTCCTGGGTTGAGCCACCTCTGCAGTGGGGATGCAGCTCTTAAAACCCAAACCCTCTCCACTGCACCGCACCCACCGCACCCCACCCCATCCACAAGCTGACGAGTCCTAACAGGCCTCCTTTGCCAGTGACAAAAATAACTATTTTCAAAATTCACAGCAGGGCTTTCGCCTACACACGGTGCCGACTGGAACCTGAAGGGAGATCTGCAGAACGCAGTGTGCGGATGAGGCACGCTGTGCAGCAAGGAGGCTCTGAAACCCCCATGCCCCTCCTCCCACCACTCAGCCCATGTCCCGCAACACACACACATACACAGGGGAACCCAGAACAGCCAGGTAGGAAGGGCTCTTAGATCATCCACTACACACAGGGGACACCGAGGCCCAGAGCGGGTCTGGGATTTACCTGAGGTTACATAGTGGATTTGTGCCAGGATGTGACCAGAACCCACACATTCCACCTCCAGGCCAGGCTGCCCACCTCCTCTCCCATTCACTTGGCCAGTGGTGAGCTCACACCTGGATGCACGTGCACACACCCACCTGTGCTCATAAACAGCACTACAGCCCTTGCTTCTGTGTTACTGCATTTTAATCAAGTTCATGGGCTCCTCCACAACCACTAGCTGGGCCAGTCCTCCACAGCCCTGTGAGGTAGGCAGAGCCAGAGATAGCATCCCCATTCGCAAGTGGGGAAATCGAAGCCCAGAGGGAAAGGACTGGGCTCAAGGTCAAAGCAGAACCCAGATGTCCTGAGTGTTGGTCCTGCAGCAGCTGACAGCCAGGCCAATTCCTCTGGGTGCTGGGGACAGGAAGGAGAGCTCTCTACCACAGCCACCCCCACCCAACAGTCTGGCCCCAGGCCATGTGAAGAACCAGGAGGGCCACCTCCCTGGACCCCTGCTCTTGCACCCAGCACTCAGGGGAGAATGGCCAGATTGCCATGCCTCGGCTGGGGTCCAAGCCTGGACTTGCCTCCATGTGGCCCCTCGCCCAAGCAGTACCGCAGAGGGCAGGGTATGAGCTGGGAGGTGGTGAGGTCCCGGGAACTGCACCATGGCACCGGCACCGGGTCCACACCACAAAGCCACAATATCATCAGAGATCATTTCACAGATGAGGAAAGTGAGGCCCAGAGAGCTTGTGCAGGTCACCCGAGGTCACAGAGTAAGTCAATGGAGAGGCAGGACTGGGATTCAGGCATCCATCCCATCTAGTTTATTCTACCCCTACGCCCAAGCCAAACTCCCTACCCTTCAACTGAGCGGCTATATACCCTACATTTCCCTGCAGATGGAGCCGTGACCTCAGGCCCCTCCCTGGTTGAGGAGCAGGACCAGGCTTGAGAGGAGGAATACATTTAGGGGGACAGAGATCCTCCCCCCACTCCTCCTACATCAGATCCGGTGAGACATCAGTCTGGTGTTGAGTTTACGGAAAAAGGATCGCAGCTTGCAAATCTTGCATTTTTTCTTGCGGCGCCCCCGGGAGAGGCTTCGAGACCTGGCTTCCTCCTCCTCCTCCTCTTCTTCCTCATCACTGGCCCAAGGCCCCCAAGCACCCCCATTAAAGTCAGGATGGGCCCGGGGATTCTCAGCCGGGTAGCGCACAGGGATGGCTGTGCGGTTATAGTCCACCAGGCGGGCCAGCAGGGCGCGGACCACGTCTGGCCGCTGGCCAGCGAGGTCCTCCCGTTCGTAGGGGTCAGCACTGATGTTGAAGAGCCACACAGCCTGGCGGGCACTGGCCATCCGCTCCAGGTTCCACCAGCTGCCTGGGAAGGCGGCCAGTGTCTGCGGTGGGATCCAGTCGCCATAGCCCGGGTCTCCCGTCAGCAGCTTCCACTCGCCCACACGGATGGCAGCCTGCACAGCGGTGTTCCAGATGCCGAAGCCACCCTCCAGGGAGCCGTGCCGGGCGTGGTTGTAGAGCGGGTCAATGTTGTGCAGGATCTCCGTGCGTGGCGAGGCCCGGCCCTCGCTGATGGCTGGCCACACGTCATAGCCATCTAGCCCATCGGCCACAGAGACAGTGCCACCTGCCAGACCCACCAGGGTCGGGTACCAGTCAGTGATGTGCACCAGTGCCCGGCTGGTCCGTCGCTTTCGCTTGAGCAGAGGGCTATGGACAAAGCCCAGGCCCCGCACACCACCTTCCCAGTAAGTGCCCTTGCGTCCTCGCAGCGGCCAGTTGCTGCCCCCGGAGAAGGTCTGGCCGCCATTGTCACTGGAGAAGATGATGACACTGTTGTTGTAGAAACCATAGCGCTTCAGGGCCCAGGTGATATTGCGCACGGCCTCGTCCATGCAGGTCACCATGGCTGCGTATTTCCGCCGGGCCACGTTGCCCATGGAGCGGTAGCGGTACAGGTACTCACGAGGGGACTGCAGGGGCGTGTGTACCGCCTGGAAGGCCACGTAGAGGAAGAGGGGCTGCCGGGGGCTGTGGCTGGCTAGGATGTGGCTGACGCGCTGGGCATAGAGCATGGTGGAATACTGGCCACTGAGCCCCCAGGCCACATTCTCGCCCTCGTGCAGGTCAAAGCCACACACCCCAGGGCCATCGCAGTTGTCGTAGGTGTAGTAGTCCACATTGCCCGTGAGCGAGCCCAGGAAGGTGTCGAAGCCCCGGCGGGTGGGCAGGCACTCCTTCCGGTAGAAGCCCAGGTGCCACTTACCCACCATGTGGGTAGAGTAACCTGCCCCCTGCAGCTTCTGGGGCAGCGTCACCTGGTCCAAGGGCAGGCAGTTGGGCTGCCGAGGGCGGATGATGGAGTGCTGAAGTCCCGTGTGGATCTGGTACCTGGTGACAAGAGCAGAGGGCACAGAAGGCACAAAGTAAGCTACAAACCACTGCCCTGGCCACCCAACCCCAATACTCACCCTGAAGTGGGCTCTGGTCCCAGCGTTACGAGCATGCATAGTAATAGTAACCAGCAGGTAGTATCCAATGTGCTGAGCACTTCAAATGCATTATCTCTTTGAATCATCAAACTCAACCGAAGTGGATATTATTACCACTTGAGGAGACTGAAGCTCAGAATGGTTAAGCCACTCTCCCAAGATAGCACAGCTAGGAAGCTGGGGAGTTAAGCGTCAAACCCAGGTTCATCTTAACAACAAAATAATAATAGCTAACACAAGTACTCACTATGTGCTCAGTACTGAACGAAGCCCCTGTATGAATTATCTCACCAAATCCTAACTGCAACCTAGGAGGTATAGATCATTATTTTCCCATTTCCCAAATAAGGAAACTGAGGCTCAGTAAAATAAATCACTTACCCAGTGATTCATACAATTAGTAACTGGCATTGGGATTTGTATCCCTGGCAGTCTTTAGAGACTTCGGAGTCCCTAAGTTCTAAGCCACTAACTTGCTATGGGGCCTAGAGAAGTCCTGCTCTCTTGGGCATACTCCTACTCACTCTTCAAAGCCCAGCCCAAAGTCTCCCACTGTAAAGTCTCTCACAAATCTTTCAAAAACTGAGTCACTTTTGCTTCTGAGTTCCCTCAGCATTTATTACCCATGACCACTGTCACACTTGGCCATGAGATTCTACTCAGTGTACATACTCAACTCTGTATTCCTAGCACTCAGGTGGTATTTATATTTATTTATTTATTTTTGGTGCCTGTGACTGGAATCGAACCTGGGACCCTTCAGTCCACAGGCCAACGCTCTATCCACTGAGCCAAACCAGTCAGAGCTCAGGTGGTATTTAAAGAAACGCTCAATTACTTATGGAATAAAAGAATGATACTCACAGGATTTAGAGTCAGAAGGTACCTAAGTCATCTTCTAGCTCAGTCACCTTGTCTTTAAAAGGAACTAAGATCTAGAATAGGGGAAGGGCCTTCCCAAGGTCGTTCATTAGTCAGGGGCAGAACAAGGACTTGAACATAAATACAAACAGAGTCCAAACACAGACTCTTTTCCAGCAAACTAGGCTGCCACTTGCCTGCCCTGTTTGCTCATGTGCAGGAATGAGTTGGTTGAAATGGAAGATCTTTACAAGTCTTTCCAGCCCTTCCCAGGTAGCTCAGTTGGTTAGAGCATCGTCCTGATATGCCAAGGTTGTGGGTTTCATCCCTTGGGCAGGAACATACAAGAATCAACCAATGAATGTATAAACAAGTGGAACAACAGATCCATGCCTCTTTCACTCTCTCTCCCTTCCTCTCTCTTTTAAAATCAATGAAAAAAATCAATAAATAAAAACATTTCAGTTCCCAAACTCTATGAGACTAGTTCTTCTGTGCCTGCCTGTAAATTCATGTGGCCTCCCTGGATCTGGGTCACTTACAAAGGCTAACACCCTGAGGCAAAAGCAAATGGTTAGCCTGCATTCCTCATTGCTCATTCATTCATTCAAATCTGTGGTAAAGGCCCTCATGTGATCTGCATATGGGGTCTTGCCTTTACTCAAGTCTTAAAAGTCCAGAGTAAATAAGAAGCCTGGAACTTCACAGGAGTATTAGAAGCCCACACCTCTCACCCCCTTTTCCCTGGGGTATCCAAACTAAGTCAAGACTTGAATAATTGACACTTTTAACCCAGGTACTGGGGGAGTGGGGGAGGGATCTGTTTTGGTTTCCTTATCTTATAGCTGTTATTATTAGCTATCATTAGCTACTACTGCCATTTTTTATTTTAAAGAGAAAGGAAGAGGGAGAGAAAGAGAGAAACATTGATGTGAGAGAGAAACACCAATCAGCTGCCTCCAGTACGCACCACAACTGGGGATCAAACCTGAAATCCGGGCATGTGCCCTGACTGGGAAGCAAACCTGTGACCTTTCAGTTTATGGGACGGCACTCCAACCCACCAAGCCACACCAGCCAGGGCTACTGCCATTTTTAATACTATATGCCACATACATTATTTCACTTAATCCTCAAAAAATCCTACAGGAAAGACTATTATGACCTTCATTCTACAAATGATAAGACTGAAGCTCCCAAAAGTGCAGCCACGGGCCCAGACAGCTGGCAGTGGAGCTGAGCTTTGAACCCAGTGTATGCAATTCATGCTCAAAATTTCTCGGCGATGCGGCCTCTGCAGACCTCAGCCGAGCTAATGAATGATTAGAGTGGGTTAGAGGCCAAGCCTCTCTTTCTAGGGGCTGAGCACCATGGAGCACTGTTGTATAAAGTGGGTGGGCCGGCTCAGAGTCCCTGAAGCCCGTGTGCAAGTGAGTAACATGAGAAACCTTGGCTCTCTCCAGCTTCACCAGACACGACTGGACTTATTAACAAACACTAATGAGAGTCGTCAGCATCAGTCAGATGGAGCCAGCTGCAAGGGGCGGAGGGCGCTGCCCAGCCACGCTCAGCTAACTTCACCGATCAGGGGGCTGGAACGCTGCCCTGCTGGCTGCTCATTCCCCTGCTTACACCAACGTCACCTCTTGGGACAGAAACGCTAACTTGTGCACAACTCCCGAGAACACAGATTCCTCCTCCCTCTGCTGGAAGTTAGTCACCATTTGGTCTTCTCCACCACTGCCACGCGCACCACATACAGTGGCCCCTCTTCCTCCCGTTCTCTCTCTCTGTTCTTGGATGGAAATGCTGAGTGCCAGGAAGAAAAGGCAGCTATCGGCCTCTCAGCCCCTCTCATACAGACCCCAAAGTCGGTACAAGCATGAACGAGTGGGGTCTTGCCTGACTCCATGCCTCAGTTTCCCCCATCCAGGAATCAGGGAGATTACCGCTCTGGTTCCCGAGTTCACGCTAGTGGCTTTTGGGTGGAACTTGGGAGAAAGCAGGCTTTGGACCCCATCCAGGGAGGATTAGCTTCAGCCTTGCCAAAGGATTTTCTCTTAAGTGGCCAGAGTTTGCTTTCCACACCCCCACGTCCTGTTCCCCTGCTCTTTTAATCCTGTAATCCTGCCACCTTGCCTGTGGACAACTCCTTAAGAGAAAGCAGCAGGTCTCCTTGGGACCCCCAGCCAAAGTGGGAGGCTTTTGCATATGAAAAAACAGATGTTTGGAGAAATTAAGTAACTAGCCTAAGGCTACTTAGGTCCTGGCATCCTGTGTGTGTCTTTCACCTCCACCTATCAATTCTTTGGTTTCTTCCCAATATAGTCATCAGTTTGGGGATTCGAATCCCTCCAGTGACATAGAGGCTGCCATACACTGACAGCCAAGCAGGTTACACGAAATCCATTCCATCCTTAGCACTGTTTCTCCCGATAAAAACTGTTCTTCACCCCATTTTATGGGCAAGAAAACTGAGGCTTAGAGATATTAAGTAATTTGTTCAGGGCCTCAGGGCATGTAAACAGGAGCACCATTCAGACCTAAGTGTCAGAGGCTGTCACTCTCCTCTAACGAAGGGTTACCAGATGTCCCCTTCACATGGTGTGGAGTGTAAGTGTCCTAGAACACCGGAGGGAGAAGACCTCAAAGATGATCCAACCCCGTCAGTGTACAGACAGGGAAACTGAGGCCCAGAGAGGGCAAAGGATTTACTAATGATCACACAGCTAGTTGGAGACAGAATTGACCAGGAGCCCTGGTTTCTTGGGTCCCAGAGGGGCGACTGTAAATGCCGGGGAAATCTCCGACTGGGTTTATTTGGGACTTGGATGGCCGCCGGCCTGAGCCATGCCTACCTGCCCGTGAGAAGTTGGCTCCGCGAAGGCGTGCAGATGGGCTGGATGTAGTAATTCTCCAACTTGACACCCTCGGCGGCCAGACGGTCCAGTGTAGGGGTCTCAATATCTGAGCCATGGTAGCCCACGTCGTGGTAGCCCTGGTCGTCGGTAAGGATGAAGATAATGTGGGGAGGCTGGGGTGGAGCGACGGAGGGCTGCTCGCTGGCCTCACTGGGGCCGTCAGCCACCAGACTCGGCTTGGTCCAGTCCCAGGACAGGTAGCCGAAGCTGAGCAGGCTGACCAGCGAGAAGCCAGTAAGGGCGTGCATCGCCAGGCCGGCCCGTGCGTCCCGGCGCGCAGGGCTCCCCAGGCCTCACCGCCGAGCGCGCCCAGGGCGCACGGCCCGCACGCCCGCCGGCCGCCGGCCCGGACGATGCAAAGCGCTTAGCGCCCCCGGGGGCGGCCCGGCGAATTTTCTGGGACTGGAGACCGGACGGCAAGGCCGGACCTGCGCGGCCGCAGCCGGGCGCTCTGGGGAGGTCAGACCCGCGCCCAGCTGTCTCCTGCCGCCCTCTCGCCCGCCCTGTGCCGCCCTCGTTCCCTCTCCCCCAGCTCAGCCAGGCCAGCCTGAGACGCGGCGTGGTGACTTCCAAAATGTGCTCTCCACCATCCTCGGACTCTCCTCTCCTTCTAGCCCTCGATTTCTCCCGCCTCCTAATTTCTCTCGCCTCTGCTTTCCCTTTCTCCTCCCCCCGACCCTCCAGCCCCAGGCCCGGCCTCTCGCCCCGCCCGGAGTCTCGAGAACAGTTGGCCTCCCCGCAGGAAGGTGGGCAGGACCCCAGCGGGGAAGGGGAGGGAGGCACGGGTAGGGCGGGTCTGGGGTTGACACCGCCAGAGAGAATGAGAAAAAGTTGTAACATCTGCCGGCGGAGCTCCAGGTGGAGGGGCGGACGCCGGGAGGCGGCTCCGCCCCCGGGCGGGAAGCCCAGGCCCGCTCGGCCCTCCAGCTTCAGCGCCCGCCCTCGCCCCGGGGCTGGGGAAAGGAGGGAGGGGGCTTCTTGGAATTCGATGGAACCGCCCCGGCATGGCCCGGTCTGACATTCCTCGATTATGGAGTCTTGGCGTCTCTGAATTGCCAGCCCTAGAAGGACGCGCCTAATTTTCTGTTCCAACCGGGTCATCCACAGTGAGAGAAACTGAGGCCCTGCGATGGGTGGGAACTCTTCTAAGTGACGGAACAAGTTAGTGGCTTCTTCCCTGGGGCTCACCGTGGCTGTTTGAGTGGCAGTAGAGAGAGCAGTGGAAAATAGGAGATGACTTTGGCAAGCACCAGGGGCTGGAAATCAGGAAACTAGGTTCTGGCCTTGCCAGCTTCCCTCTCCTCAACCCCTCCCCCTCCTCATTCTGCAATCCACAACTGGAATCTTAGAATGCCCAGGCGCTAGAATCCAGAGGGCAGGGGTTGTTGTATACATCTTGTACCCACAGGATCTAGATAGAAGCTCCATCAGTATATGTAACATGCGTGAATGAATGGATGAATGGGCCTCAAGGGTCGCCCATGCCAACTCCCACCCAAGAAAATCCCCACTGCGTGGAAAGCAGGGGGCCCGCTGTATGGCGGAGAAAGGCAGTGGAAGAACGTGAACCAGCGCGTCTGGATCTTCTGATTTTTTTTTTTTTTAAAGGAAACCCAACTGTAGTCTATTATGAGAAATATTCCAGGTGTTACGTGCTAGTACCTGATTTCAAGCCAAATTTAAACACCATGCAGGCCAAATCAAACCTATTTGAGGACTATTTTAGGCCATTGGGTGCCCGATTGCAACTTTTGGATTGTTTTCCAAATGTTTACTCAACTACATTTTTAAATGAGAGAACTGAATTAAACAACACCAGTTAGGCTTCTTTACCACCAGGACTGCAAAGGTTTAACATGCTAATCTCCAGGAGGGAGGCTGGTGAAGCTGTATTTCTCAGTCTCATGTGACCGAAGACCCCCTTTTTCACAGAGCTCTCTCCAAGAGCCAGTGTCTTGTGAACTCTGGGAAACAAAGACTGCCCAGGTGTGTGTCTTCTCTTCTAGCGCCTTCCCCCTGCCAGTGTTCTGTCGAGATCCCTCCCACTTCCTTAGAACCACGGTGTGTGGGGAGAGACACCATTCCTCCAAAATAGTCGATCTGCATTTGGAAATGAGGGCTGCGTGGGGCCGCTGCTCCTGTTTGCTCAAAGGCCCATATTTAGGGTGACCAGATTTATCAAAAGGGAAAACTGAGCCTGTTCCTGCACAAGAAATGTCGAGGACAGACGGGGAAAGTGCAGCCTCCTGAGGAGAAGGCTGCTAAAACGGGGCTTCGGCAGAGGCAATCCTGGAGGTCAAAGTGGGACAAGTCACAGGGGGGGTCAATGGGCTTGGGTTTTGCACTCTTTGCATTGTCCCAGACCTTGGCCAGGAGGAACTGGAGAAATGGCACAAGGATAAATGGCAAGGGAGAGGGGGTGAGGACTCAGCCTAAAAGAAAAGCAGTCTCGGAGGCTGACAGGCCGCAGATCTCTATAAGGCTATCGAAAGGACAAGACAAGGCAGGACAAGCAGAATTTCTGCAAGTTCATGACTGTGGCCTCTGACATCAGACTGCGTGAGTTCGAATCTTGCCACTTAATTGGGCAAATTATTTTACTTCCATCAGCCTCAATTCCTCCATCTGTAAAATGGGATGATAATATTAATGAGATACAATACAGTGCTCAGTACAGTGGCCGGCACATAGTAAGCACTCAGTGAATGTGAGTGGTTTTCACGATTGTCCTCCTGGGTTCTGAGAGAGAAAACTACGTCTTATGAGTGAAAGGGACTACAAAACAGATTTCAGGCCAATTTAGGGAATTACTTTTGTAAGTAATCTGGCAGCTTGCTTAATAAAAGGATGACAGTGATAGATGAATCACCATGTGGAGAAGAGTGGGTGGAGCTCTTGGGCCTAACTCTTGTTCCCTAATAGTCACATTTCTTTTAAGAGCCCCTCAGTAATCACCCAAACCCACGGTGGCCTCAGAGGACACCATTCCCCCTCTAATGTTCTAGGGAGATAAATACTGAACCTCAGTTCTTCTTTTAGTGCCATTACACAATGAGACCAGGCTGGAACGTTTAAACCAGACATTTTCAAAGGCTCAGAGTTGACAAGGGGAAAATAACTGCAAAGAGTAATGTGAATTCAGGTCATATCTTTTTCAAGGTGTGACTCAGTCATCTTCCCTTTGTGTCCGCTACAGGATGCCTGCCTGCCTTCTCTCCTGGGTCAATGACCATCAGCCCTGCTCCCACCTAGGTAGACTCTCAACAACTCCAAGGTCTCAGAGAAACACAAGCTAGCCTTTGCAGTCTCTAACTCAGGGCCTACCAGCTTCCAAGACGATCGACAGCTGGAGTATCTACCCCATATAGGTAAGATCTGTCCATCCATTCACTCAGGTGAGCACTCACCCCATTAACCCCCAAAGGACAGCTGGGAGAAGCCTAACATCTGCACACGAAATGCAGATCAGATGTGGGAGGGATCCAGTGTGGTTACTTCCTGACAGAAATTTCCATTGATGAAATCAGACTTCAGAAAGCACTGAGCTCCTCCTTACTGGTATTATGCAAGAAGGGGATAGAGTGCCCATCTGTCCAGGAAGTAACAGGAAAGATTCCTGAACTAAAAAGGGGAGCAAAACTCAAGGACTTTAAAAGTTCTTTCCAACTTGAAAATGTTATGATTCTAATTATTTATCCTCATAAAGCTTTTTAGGGCACAGAGATATAGAAGTGAAAAACTGGGTGAGTCTGTTTTGTGGCTTTGTCTTTCATTGCTATGCATGACATGTATGTTAGTGAGTGTGTGTATGTGTGTGTATGTATATGTAGTTGTGTGTGTGTGTATGTATAGGTATGTTTGACCACCTTTAAACTGAAATTATTTCAGTGTAGATATTATTTCCTTCTGACTTCATTGACCTTGGCAAAGATCTTATGTCCAGATTATGCCTGCTGTCACCCTGAGGTCCATTTGTCTTAGGCTGGACCAAATCAAGGACCTGAAAGAAAATACAGAAGGCCTCTGAGCAGTCAAAAATGTCAGAGCTCAGTCCCTTAACTCAGAGGAGTGCTCCTCAGGCTCTCTTCACTCCAAGCCCGTGGCTCTTATGAGGCCTATGGTTTCTTGTGCACAGTTCTTATGAGGCCTATGGTTTCATTTCCTAGCCCAAGAATATGGGAAGCAGCTCAGAAAAAAATATATAAGGTGGGCGTGAGGAAACTGTCAGCTTTATACTAATACAGTTTCAAAGTGAAACATTAGGGAGAAACAAAAGAATAAAAATCAGACTGATGAATGTCGAAAGGCTGGGAGTTGGGGGCCATTTATACAGGAGAAACAAGCCATATCTACCTGAACAGACCCAAGGGCATCACCAAATCACGCCCCAGCACAGAAGTGAATGATGGGTTGCCCCCAGAGTTTAAATTTAGTTCAGGATCCTCTCTCTAAGGAGGACGGGGAGGGCATGGGCTATTTTTTATTTCCATCCAAAAGTGGTTACTATGACATTCATGGTATAAGCTTAGCTTCAGTTCTAGAGCATCCTCCCTGAAGATGCAGGCCTAGGAGGCAGCAACGTCTGCAATGGGTTCCATGGTGATGAGGATGCTAGAGGTCAGGCTCAGAAACCCAATAGCATGCTCCTCCCCAGTGGCAGGCCTGGCTCGTCCACCTCCTGCCTCCTCTCCGCAGCTCTCAGATGCCAGCATGATGTTCCCTGCACTTCGAGCCCCAAAGCCTCTGTATCTTGAAAGGGCGAGTGGCCCTGGGTAAGAAGCACGCTGAGTGGAGCACAGAGTTCCAGCTCCGGTGCCCTGCCCGACAGTTAAGCCATATCCTCCGAATGAGCAACTTCTCACTCTGAAAAAGACCTCCACAGGGGAAATTCCGCAGGTTCCCTTGGACACCTAGTCTAGTGACCGCTGGCTCTCACGTTGGCTCCCATGATCTTGACTAAGGCATCATTAATTAGAATTATTTGTGATTCATTGAAAGCTTGGGGGTGTTTAAGAAAGCCATGCTGGCTACATCATGGAGAATGTATTGCAAAGGCCCCCATTAAGAGTCCACGTAAGAAGGCCCAGTGGAGACAGGCCTGCCCAGACGAGCTGTTCTCCCCAGTGGGCAGGCTGCGGGGCACCTGAGGCCCAGTTCTTCCTGAATATTACTTTGGGAAAATGATTCTTAGAGGAAAAGTGTTTTCTTTGATGCTGGGGCACCCCCGTTAGCATTTCCGGGAGAGACACACATGCCCCCTGACCCTTGCTTCTGGTCCTCTCTGTGGTCTCATTGAGTGTCCCTTGGTGTCGAAATCCCCATATCAGACATTGGAGCCAGGAGTGGCAAGAGCCCGGGCACTCGCAGCCCCTTGCCTTTAACCCTTCACGGGGCCCCGGCCGGGGCATTTCAATGGCTCCTTTCTCTGGCGCTCAATGAAACATTCTTCCAAGTAGATTATTGAAAGCAGAGCTCTGAGTACACAATGGGTGCTCTGTGCTCACAGCCGCTGCCCAATCTGTTTGCCCAGCCTGACTGCGGCCTCGCCTCTCCGCACACTCCCCACCCTCCACCCACCCGACCCCGGCCCCACGCCCCATCTCCAGGCCAGCTCAAAGGGAGGCCATCTGAAAGGACTTGTTCTCCGTCTTCTCAGAAGTTCCCGCCGTGGCTCTGCCAGCCTCAGAAGGAATTAGCCTAACGGGACCCAGGTCTGCCTCCAGCCCATCCATCCGGGGCTCTGCCCACTTTAATGTCCAGAGGCTTCTCTCCTCGCTGGTCAGCTGACATGTCTCTCTCTCTCTCATACACACATGCACCCACGAACACAC